TTTTTTTTTTTGAGATGGAGTCTTGCTCTGTCACCAGGCTGGAGTACTGTGGCCTGGTCTTAGCTCAGTGCAACCTCTGCTTCCTGGGTTCAAGTGATTCTTTTGCCTTAGTCTCCTGAGAAGTTGGGACTACAGGCATATGCCACCATGCCCAGCTAATTTTTGAATTTTTATTAGAGACAGGGTTTCACTATGTTGGCCAGGATGATCTCCATCTCCTGACCTCATGATCTGCCTGTCTCAGCTTCCCAAAGTGCTGGGATTATAGGTGTGAGCCACTGCACCTGGCCTAACCCTGTAATTAAAGCTAAAATTCATGTAGAAAAGTTTTCTTTTTTCAAGACAGTTTTACTGTATTGCCCAGGCTGGAGTGCAGTGGTGTGATCTCGGTTCACTGCAACCTCCCCTTCCAGGGTTCAAGCAATTCTCATTCCTCAGCCTCTTGAGTAACAGGGAGTAAAGGTGCCTGCCACTATGCCTGGCTAATTTTTGTATTTTTAAAGTAGAGGCAGGGTTTCATCATGTTGGCCATGCTGATCTTGAACTCCTGACCTCAGGTGATTGACCAGCCTCCGTCTCTCAAAGTGTTGGGATTACCAGTGTGAGCTCCCATGTCCTGCCTTTTTTTTTGTAGCAATTATGATTATTATTTTAAAGAGTCTCTCTCTGTTGCCCAGACTAGAGCATAGTGGTGTGATCTTGGCTCACTTCAGCCTCAGCCTCCTGGGCTCAAGCGATCTTCCCTTCTTGGCCTCTCAAGTAGCTGGGACTATGACATGTGCCACCATACCCAGCTAAATTTTAAAAATATATATTTTTTGTAGGGGTGGGGATTTCACTATGTTGCCTAGGCTGGTCTTGAACTCCTGGCCTCAAGCAATTTTCCAGCCTCAGCCTCCCAACGTGCTGGAATTACAGACAGGAGCCACCATGCCTGACTATAAGTCTTAAAAAGTGGTTTTTACACGTGGGTTTCTTGTTCAACTGGATTATTCTTCTCCTTTGGTCTTTGAGGTCTAAAGGAACACATCCTTCTATTAGGTTCACTAATTTAACTCTGCTAGGCATCGTTAGGACACTGGGGCTGCAGAGATGAGCTGGCCATTCTTTTCCCTCACACCCTGCTGCCTTTTCTAATGATGGACACTAAGGACCATTGATACTGCTTGATACTAGTGGCTCCCAAAGGGATAATCCAAAGGCTGTTCCATATCTACTTTCTTTTTTTCCAGAAAAAAAAATGTGTCTTTTCTCACTTTATGTTACTTAGTTTCACAGTTTTATCACCTTTTCTGTTCTCTTACCATTTCATATATTAATTATTGTCAAAATGTATGGGTGCACCAAAACCTTAGCTAGAATTGGCTTTATGAGTTGATATTTATTGACGTATACTGATATGACACCTACTGTTACGTACATTGCTATGCTTTTATATTACTATCCAAATGGAAAAAAAATTGGAAATGGTAACAAGGTACTGTTATAAGTTATAAGCCCCTAAAAGAGTAAAAGAGTAGTCAATTCTGAAGTGATCTCACTCTTTTTTTTTTTTTTTTTTTGATGGAATCATTCTGTCACCCAAGCTGGAGTGCAGTGGCATGATCTCAGCTTACTGCAACCTTCACCTCTCCGGTTCAAATGATTCTACTGCTTCAGCCTGTCAAGTAGCTGGTATTACAGGCATGCACCACCACACCAGGCTAAGATTTTTAGTAGAGACACAGTTTTGTCATGTTGGCCAGGCTGGTCTTGAACTCCTGACCTCAGGTGAGTCACCCACCTCGGCCTCCAAAAGTGCTGGGATTATAGGCGTGAGCCACCCTGCCCAGCCTCTACCTCTTTCTTTTAGATAACAGCTATAGAGCCAATTGAGGCAACAAGGGTGCCTCTTCCACCACCCCGAAGCCTGTCCACATAGTCTAGAATCTGAGTCCAACCGTGTGCGTCTAAGCTGGGCCATAGCAACCCCTACTTAAGTTTTCTGAGCTGTTTTCCAGACCAGATTCCATCCTGAAACTTTATTTTATAATTCTGGAGATCTCACTGAGCAGGAAGATGGGCAATGCTTCGGGAGAGGAAAGAAAATCAATGCTTTGACAACACACCTGCCAATATAGGGAGGTGTGGGAATGCTTTGGTGGCAGTGAGAAGGCTCTGAAGAGGTTACCTGGTTACCCAAAGAGTGCTTGACTATGAACGTTCTAACCTTCACACAACTCATAACTAACTCCAGCCTCCATGTGCTGCCCTCCATCTGCAAAGTGGGGATTGTCATGATTTGCCTTACGAGGGTGCTGTGTGATAATGGGGGAAGGAGGCTTGTACCTATATATGTGTGTATGTGCACCTACATATGTGTGTATGTCTATTATGCAGCATTTTGGGCCAGCAGGAGAATAGACATTTTTCATTCATTTGGTAAATACCCGCTTCTTCCCTGTTTTCCAAGTCTCAGTTGAATTGCAGTGGGGATATTAGGTCACAAGGGTGAATAGTTCACTCAGGAGTGTGAGGTGGGGACCGATCCATCTGGGAAGTCCAGGTAGGCAGCAGGGCTTGTTTCAGGGAGGCTTCCTGCAGGTAAGGAGGAGCTTAATGGGAACCGAGCTGCTTCAAGATGTGCCTGCAGCCTCCCGACTGCCTACCCTGTGCCCACATAAAGTCTGGTATCTGGAATCTCCCAGATGGAGGTTTGAGCGTTTCCATGGCCAGGCAGTAGAAGGAGCACTGCCCCAGGAGTCCTAGGACTGGTTTCCAGCTCTGGTTCTGCAGTGACTGAGCCCTGGGGCCTCTGCAAGTTGCTTAACCGCATCTGCAGGTGATGACCTCTTCCAGTCTAACGCTGACTCCTCCTAAGTCTTCCACAATTACACTGAAAATTGGGGATCGTATTTCCCAACTCCCTCTCCCACAGAGATGCGCTGCAGCACTTACAGATAAAAGGCGACCTGTGGCCCTGGAAGGTGTGTGCCTGTGTGTGCTGGAGGTGGCGGTGGATCTTTCATTATTCAACACTCCACTTGCCTGCATTTTAGTCTTTCCTTTTCCACTTCTCTCCTGGCCTCCCAGTGGCCGTCAGGGGTCCCTGCAGACATCGCTTTTCCACAGCAGTGGGGTCTGAGAGTTAAAGGGGTTCCTGACCTTCGCTGTAAGTAAAAGCTCTCTAGGGAAGGCGTTATAGCTGACCAGGGCAGCAGAGACCGCAACTAAAGCATGAATTCCCCGAAGTGCAATTTACAAAGTTTTTGCATCGAAGTCGGCGCTCGGCGGGGAAGGCAGCCAAGGGAACAGAGCGGGTGGAGCAGGGGAATGGGGAATTGTGTTCTGCAGGAAGGACCCCATGGAGACTGGACACCTCTCTCCTGGGACACGGGCCACGCCACACTGTCCTAGTCCCTAAACTTCGGTTCTCGGTGACCAGTCACGCTTAAACCGTTCCTGGTGTCCGAGCGCGGCCCCTTCCGAGAGTGACAGGCTTCTGCCAGGGCGCTCCGCTTCGACGGGCACAGGGGCGCACTGCAGAGGGGCTGTGGAGGACGCGGGTGGCCACGGCCAAGTGCGACCCCATCATGGCCCTGGCCGCCTCCGCTGGACACACCCCACGGCGGGGCGCCGGGCTTGGCTGTGGTTGCGCCCGCCCGCGCTCCCCGCCGCCGCCGCCGCCCCCGCCGCTCCCCGCCCCCGGGGTCCCTGGAGGCTCCGCGGCTGCCGGAGCTGGAGGTGGAGCTGAGTCCGTGGCGGCCGCGCAGGAGGGAAAGTTCAGCAGCGGTGGCAGTGGCCGGAGCCAGGCCGGGCAGCCTGCAGAGCGGCTCGGGTGAGTCGGGTTTTCTCCCCCGCCGGCCAGGCGCTGTGCGCCACGCGGGGGCGTCGGTGGCGCCGGCGGATTCCTGCTGCCCCGCGCGGCTAGCTCGCGCCCTCCCGGCCCGTGACCTCGGGGTGGCTCGTGCAGCCGCGGAGGATCGTGCAGCACCGGGCCTCCCTCTGCCGCTGCCCGCCGGGGGGCCAGGGCACGGGCAGGGACCAGGGAGCGGCTTGGCAGGCGGAGGGCGAGGTGCCTCCAGGTGGGCGCGTGAGGACGCGGAGGGGGCTTCCAGGGAGGGTCCGGGGCCGCTGTGCGCCCGGGGTGGATTTGGCTCTACCAGCCTTTCCCCTGGCCTTCCGCTGTCTAATTACTTTCTGCAAAACCCACTGAAAAGTAGCCTTTCCACGTGCCGCCCGGCGACTGCTGTTATTGTATTATTGTGGCTGGGATGGAGAGGGTGGAGGGGGCGTGACGAGGGTGGCCGGTGGGCAGCGTGCTCGCCTGCCCTGGACCAGGGACGTGGGGGATGTGTCTGAGGGTCATCGCCGTCCGAGGATGACCAGGGGATGTGCGATCGGTGGGCAGAAGCTGTGCTAGGGCATGATCTTGGGGTGGGGTGGGGGTTGGGAGGATGGGGAGGAGAGAAGTAGGAAGCGGAGGCAAAGTTGTTTGTTTCCTTCGCGCTTCCTGCACCTGCACTCCGGTTCGAGATTTTGAAGTTATCTTTTCATCGATGGGCAAAGAATGGTGAGAAAGGAAGAGATGTTGACAGCACTGTGCCTGCCAAAACAGTGAGCCTCGGGAAATACTCATAAATGAAATACTAATAAAAAGGATAGTGTGGTTAAATTTCACAAACTCCACTTTTATTCTGATTTCAAAGCCTTGACGCAGTTTTTACTTAATGTCATTAGATACATCTAGATAATAAAGATAATGAACTGTTCTTTCACGTTTTTTTAAAACTAGAAATTTAAATTTAATTCTGCAGGATTTCTTGGATTTTGTTGACATTATTCCTACAAGAAAATCAAATTACCTTGGTGTTACTTGCAACAGTGAGCATTAATAATCCCTGTGCAGTGCTGAAATGCTGCTAAGTGGAGGGAGAAAGGTCCTTTAAACTTGGAAATAGCTGCGCAGAAAGGCAAGATGAGATTTTGTATAAGCCTTAGGCAGAAAAGGCGACTTGAACATGTGTAATAGTGCAAAATACACAAGGGACTTGGTGTTGGGCTTCCAGAAGATGTCAATTCCTAGAAAGCAAGAGATGGGTCATACCCATTGTAAGATCACCACACACATTTAATCATTCATTTGCCTTGAGCTACCACACTGTAGGTACTCCACATAATACAATATCAAAACAATGTAATCCTGTTCATCTTTGTGTGCTAAATCTCATATGTCTATTTGTAAAATGTATTAGTGGGATTCAAAGCGGAATCTCCAACATTTGGATTCATCCGTTTACAGTGCAGTGAGCTTGTGCTTTGCTGTTCCAGAGGCCTGAGCTCCAGGCGGCTTCTTCCACTTATTAACTGTATGACCTCGGGCAAGTTACCTACCCTTTCCCAGCGTTGGTGTCCTAATTTGTAAAATGCCAGTAATACTCTTCACCTTATGGAAATGTTTAGCAGGAGGAAATTACATTCGGGAACTTATCCTAGTGCCTGGAGCACAGAGTATGCACCTCATAAATGTTGTCTTTTATTTTTTTGCCTTTCTTTAACATTGAGGGATCCTCAACTCCAGCATGTTTGAACATTTAAATTTGTTTTAATTCCTTCTTCTTCATAACCCTACTTTCCAATTATTTATCCATTGATTATTTATTGAAGAATCTCAGATGCCACCCAATATGGGTGTTAAAAATGAGGAGTTGATGCTTTGGGGCAAAATTTTAGTTTTTTCTTGTATCTTCCTAAGAATCCATCATAAATTAGATCATATGATGATGAATTGTACTTACCAATCTTTGTCTTGCCCTAGCTGTGTTCTTAATGCCGTTTTATTACAGTAAAAAGAAGTAACAGTAAAGTCTGCGAGGGTCCTTATCTTTTCTATTTTCTCCATGTCTCACACAGTGCCTGGCAGGGCATAAGGACTAAATAAATATTCGTTGACTTAAAATACAGAATGTAATGAAGTTATTCCTTGGTTACATCCTTCTTTTGATAATTACTGATGAAAGAATCTCGAGATCCTAAATTATAGCCCTACTTATGTTAGGGCTAATAGAGGTTATTACGGAGGCAAAGCTGAGGTAGACTTTATTACCTATTGATTTTGCGCTCATGATGAAGCAGTCTTATAAAACCTGTAAAGCCAGGCTGCAGAGTAACTTCGCCACTAGGGGCCTCTTCAGACTAGTGTATCACCCCAGGCTGTCATTTATTACCATCATCCTGTCCTTTAAGGTAGCAAAGAAATTTAACTTGCTGGGTTCAGGACATGGAATACTTTATTAGAAAAGGGCAACTTTGTGTCAAAGCTTTAGCCAAAGGCCTAAAAAAAAAATGAAAGTGATCTTAAATGATAGATTTGGTACTGTTTTTGAATAACTTTCGAGTTAAAGGCTTAAAAGAGATATAAGAATTTGGATTTGGATTTGTATATCCCAATTTTCAAATATATGATTTAAAAAAAAACTTCAAACAGACACACACACACACATACAAACACACATATATGATTTTCACATATATATATATGTTGTTTATATATATATATGTGGTTTTCTTTGTATATCTTTGGTATGGCTTATTTTTATATTTTAATGTGTTTAAAATGGTTTTATTTCCTAAATAGATGTGTGTAGCACTAACAGGAATATAAGTTGTTTTTCAAGGAATTTCATCTGGCTGGCAGAAGCTTCTTGTATCTTTCCTTTTTAAAAAAGTGGCTCACATCTGTAATTCCAGCACTTTGGGAGGCTAAGGTGGGTGGATCTGTTGAGGTCAAGAGTTTGAGATCAGCCTGTTCAACAGGGCAAAACCCATCTCTACTAAAAATACAAAAATTACCCAGGTGTGGTAGCAAGTGCTTGTAATTCTAGCTACTCAGGAGGCTGAGGCAGGAGAATCACTTGAACCCGGGAGGCAGAAGTTGCAGTGAGCTGAGATCATGGCACTGCTCTCCAGCCTGGACAACACAGTGAGACTCCATCTCAAAAAAAAAAAAAAGGAGCCACATTAAGTCTCACCTTTAAAAAATGTTTTATCACATTCCAAGATGCATCACTGAAAGGCACCTTTCTTCTATGTGTGTTTGAAAAGACCTCTTATTTCTAAATTCTACTTTGAATGAAGTTAGTCAAGCTTGAGAATATTTATTGAACAACTAGAAGGTGTTATTTTTTGTGTTTTTATTTGTCAGATATAATTTGCTGTTTGGTAGAAAAATTACTGACAATGTATGTAAACAAGCATTATTACTGAAAATATTGCCATATTGTATGCAAATGAATGAGAACATTATATTTTCAGGTCTTCCATGAAATGTAATTCGAGTGACAAACTAATTACCTTTAATCTGTAAGTAAAGTTAGAAACAATTAACTAGACCAGGCATGGTAGTCCCAGTAACTTGGGAGGCTGAGGTGGGAGGATTTCTTAAGCACTCAGGAGATCAAGACCCTGCTGGGCAATGTCAAGACCTTGTCTCAGAAACAAATGAACAAAACCCAACCAAGCCACAACAAAAATTAGCAACAGAGAAAAGCTTAGCACATTGTAGGTCTTAAATTTTACCAATGGTTTTCCTATGTTATTTAGCAGAATGTCTCTGAGTTTGGAAAATTATCAAATATCCAATTCTGCTTTTCACATGGCAGGATTTTACAATAAGACGATCTGGTTTTCATACCCCTCCCCTACCTTTTTAAAAATCAAAGTCTAGGTCAGTACTCTAGAGAACAGGGTAAGAGGAATAACTTTTGCATGAAGGCTGTAGAAAATTTTAAATATCATTTCCCTGTGATTAAGCTAAAAGTTTTGGATTACTTTTAGGATTCTGCTCACATGAAAACGTTATAGAGATCCCAGTTGCACAAACTAATGCTTCTCTAGAACTTCAAGAGTTTGGCTTATCCCAAACTCCCAGCTAGTAAAGGCCATGGTGTCTCCCTGCCTCTCCTTCATCTTCCCAAACTGAATCTGAGTCCATGCCAAGATGACAGGTACAAAGCTTTAGGCAGGCTGGGACAATTTAGTTTGGGCAAGAGCTCCAAGCTGAACAAGGTTATGGATGGCTGAGTTGAGAGGAAATGAATGAGTGGTTATATCTGGGAGTCACTTTTAGGAACCAGCACTTGGGAGGTATGCCTACACAAAAGTAATTGTTTGCTAGAATTTCATGTTTGAACCTAGGACTTAGGGAAACATTACTTTGCTGCACAGATAATTTTTGTTGCTGTTTTTAGGCAATGCATAAAACATTTTCCTTCTGTATGTGGAGATTGTAATTTGACATGAGATTTGGGTGGGGACACAGAATCAAACCATATCAATATATAACGGTTGTTGTTATTGATATTATCATTATTGACTGCAGTGCTTTCAGATAGATCATTCTAGTAGTCACAATAATCTGGAACAGAGGATTCAGGTAAACTTAGTGCTTATAATAATGTTTGCAAAGGTAAGTGATTCATTTAAGGTTTCTTGTTTCACTTCTATCACAATTCTTCTCTTCCTATGATAAAAATGTCTAACACTGATGCAGCCCTTAAATATGTAGCAGGTCCTCTGCTTAGTGTGGTGCATGAATTCTTCATTTAATCAGCACAGCCACCTTAGGAAGTGTGCACTCTTATTATTTGTGTTTTATAGATGAGAACACTAAGGTTTAGAAAGCAAGTCAAGGTCAGCTAGTAAGTGGTGGAGCTGGGCCTTAGTCCATGTCTGCCTGGCTCCAGGACCTGAGCTTATGACCTCTTTGCTGTCTTTTCCAGCATAAATGCTCATTGAATTAGCAGCCTGGGAAATGTCTTTGAGTTCTGAGGGTTAATAAAACACGTAAACATTGATTTTTTTTAGAGTATTGTATTTATCTCCATTTCTGGGTATGATGGAGCAAGATAACAAAATAATTTTTATCAGAGGGTCTGCTTCATCACTTTTAATTTGTAGGTTTGTGTATGTAGCTTTTTCTAGTAGGTCAAAATACATTGTAGAGCAACAACTCTGTAAACATCTAACTTCTGATTGAGGGATTTTGCCGGTGTGTTATAAGCAGAAATTATGAATAGAATCAAGTGTGTGTGTTGCAGAATATTTAGGTATAAAGGCTGAAGTCAACCATTCATGCATTCATCTAACAAACATTTTAATGCACCAGTTCTAGGAAGGTACTCTGCTAGACACTGCAGGAAATGCCAAGATGTGAAGATAGTGCAGGAGAGAGGAAGGGTTTGATGCTATGGTAGTGGACAGCCTGGGGTTTGAATCCCAGCTCTACTCCTTACTGAGTAGGGGGAATCTTGTTCCATTCCTAAACATCTCTGAGGCTTAGCTTTCTCATGTGCAAAATGGGGATAATAACGTCTTATAGGCTTGTTGCAAGAATTAAACAAAATGTATAGGTAAGGTGCCAAGCCGCCAGGAAGTAATAGGCACCAACCAATAGTAGTGTCCATTTTCCTTCTTCTCATCTGCCTCCTCTCGCCCACTCACTTCCCTTCCCTCTTACCCTTGCCCTTATCTCCACCCCTAACTCACAGAGTGGTGGTAGAGATAAAGATACCTAAAACCCAAGGCCAAGTGTGATCAGTTCCTTTAGAATGTTGTTTTCTGGTTCTCCCATGGGGGGCTGGGACAAACCTGACAGCAGCGTAGGGTCCCTGTGACACTTGGTTGTTACTTGAGCTGGCCAAAGACGATGAATCCCAGGAGGCAGTGGCAGCTTGGAGCCCAAGACAGGTACCTATGGTGTAGAATCAGGTTTGGGTGCAAGGGGTGAGGGAGAAGCTATTTTAAGAAGAAGCCAAGAACTCAGGTCTCATGGAAATTGAAACAAGTCAGAAATGAGTTGGAGGTCAGTTGAGCAGAAGGAGTTTGGGATCCAGGGTACAGGGGATATGAGTGGCCATTTCCTGAGGGATCCAAGGTTGTTTGCTGGGTCAGAGGCTCAGCTGTGCTGCACTACCTGGATGGTTTGTGCTGAAAAGCTCAGAGGAGAACTGCAGCCTGGTGCATCTCCAGATTGGTGCATTGCCTCTTATGGACTTCTGGCTCCCTGGCCTCCCACTGCAGGATTTTTCCAAAGGCAGCACATCCACTGTCAGTGAGTAGCTAAGTCAAAATTATTAGTTGTCTGGCAATAAGTACTCGAGATCTTTCAGGGGTATCTGTTGTCACAGGAGAAATGAGCCTTTTTCCCCACCAGTTGGGAATTTGGTTAATTACATCCAGGCCTGTTTCACTATGATGCGGGGAGCCAGATGCACGGAGGCCTGTGTAGGGCCCTGGTTGCAGTTCTGTATAGTAGTCTGTGTTGTTAGATCAGGGAGGGTCTTTAGAGGGATGTTCCAAGTGGTTTTATGATAATGATCCGCCTTGTTTGGTGTCCAGGGTAGATGCTGTGTGTGGTAGGGAGGGAATGTGGATTTTACAAAATCGTTACAGTTCAGGAACGTCTACCTCAGCCAGGAGCAGGAAGCCTTGACTCATTATTTATTATCCCATGGCACATAGGCATAAACCAGCCCTTCTGTGAATAAGCAAATAGAACTTGCCCAGGTGCAAGAGAAGCTTGATTCAGAATTTATTTTTTTTAGCCGAAAATTTAGCAACAGTATTGAATTGGAGAACAGTTTGTTTCAAGCAAGTTACTGTAATTTTCAAAAGTCCATTTTGTGGAGCTAATAGAGTGTATTAAAATGAATTGAACAAGGAAACTTTTTTAAAAAAAGTTAAGGATAGCTTAGTGGGAAGAGGAATAGTCCTTGAAATGAAATCCAAGTTAGTTCAAATGGTTCTTGGGACTACTAGTATCATGAGCATATGCAAAGCACACAATTAAGTGGAAAAATGAGGGAGCCAATGAACTGAATAATGAAACAGCAGCACCCCTGGTAAATGGGCTTGGGAGATGGAGTCATACACAACAACCTCACTTTTTAACTCTGTGAAATTGGGCAAGTTACTAATTCTTTCTTTCTTTCTTTCTTTTTTTTTTTTTTTTGAGATGGAGTCTCGCTCTGTGGCCCTGGCTGGATTGCAGTAGCATGATCTCAGCTCATTGCAACTTCTACCTCCCGGGTTCAAGCGACTCTTGTGCGTTAGCCTCACAAGTAGCTGGGATTACAGGCCCCCACCACCACACCCCTCTAATTTTTGTATTTTTAGTAGAGATGAGATTTCACCATGTTGGCCAGGCTGGTCTCAAACTCCTGACTTCAGGTGATTCAGCTGCCTCCGCCTCCCAAGTGTTGGGATTACAAGCATGAGCCACCACTCCCAACCTACTTAATTCTTTAGATTTCTGTTTCTCATCCATAAAATGGGGGATAATCATGCTTATTTTGAGTGGTTTGCTGAATCATTGAGCTAATGTACATAAATGCTGCAGCACATGGTGAATCCTTAATATATGTGTCAACTGTTGTTATGCCAGAAAGGGACGGGGAAGAAACATGAAAAATAAAATGAGTATTAAGAAGCATTCAGAAGATGAGAAGGAGCATGCTATATTTGCTTTAGGCCTTGTAGCTCTTATTTCTATTCTTAGTTTTTAAATGTCTGAGTTCTAGATTTTTATAAGCCAATATGTCTTGAATACCCACTGTGTGCATATCACGATGATAAGGTGCTTGTGTCTGGAAACTAATCTCAGAAATCCCTTGATATCTTTGGAGTTCTAGACTGAGAGGAATGAGACAGTGACTAGGACTTGCTGTTAACTGATGAATTCCTAATATCCTCTGGCTACTTCAATTAGTTACCCAAAAGATAATAGCTTCTATTTAATAGGAAATAAATACATCTTCTTGGACCTCCATACATATAAGTGACTTAAAATTTCCAGGTTACTTTTGAGTATCTTATATGCATAGAAATAAGATTTCTTTGCGTACATTTGTGGCTACATAATGGGAAA